TTTCACATGTATTCTTAACGTGCATGTTGGTAGTAAAAGTAAACACGTTTTCCATAATGATACGTGAGGACGTGTTCAAAAGGAGTAAAGATAAACACTAAGTAGTCCTATTTTTGTTCATCATGTGGGATAACATAAGAAAACGAATGGTAAATATAAAAACATCCCTTTCATCTTGATGGTAACGGTTACTTTACCAGAAATTTATAATACTCATGTAGGGAGCAGTTTTCTGTTTTCCATTCCAGTTCATCTAACTGCTCTCCTGACTTCCTGTCCATTTAAACACATACTGCATGCATTTTTCTCAGTTTTTGGTATGATGACCAGAGGGGTTATAATACGAAACATCTGACATGAGAAGACTTTTTCTGAATTATAATATCGGGCTATTGTCTGTCATCTTTTTTCTCAAAAATTTCGAAGTTTTCCATCCTTTCTTCTGATCATCGGCCCAGGCCCATTGTCTTGACTATCTGGCTTTGTAAGGTTTTGAAGGTAATGTCTTGTTTGGTTACAAGAATGAAATAGCCTCATTTCCACCAAGGACACGTAATAAGACTTGAAATATCTACCAGGAAAACGTTTCTTAAATGAGAATATCTAATATCTTTTTTTTAACGAATAAAAACCTTATACCACATACAACTATGATATTCCACAAAACATTCATTCTTATGGGTTGCATGGCCATTTACTTTTTTTTTATCCGTAGAGGATAGGTGTTTCATGTTTCGTGTTGGTTTTACGCCCCCATGTTCTCCGCAGAAGGAATAGGTGTTTCTATGTTTTGTGTTGGTTTTACGCCCCCATGTTCTTTCACACAGGATCTGAGCGTTCCTCAAGATTGTGTTTTGAGTGTCAAATCACATTTTTACACACCAACCTCCTTATTTGTTTTAAACAACCCCTATGTTAATGACTTTCAGATTTCAGGCTAGTCGGTAAATATGAAGTTTATCGAGCAATAGTTTCAGATTGAGTTGGCTAATTACATACAAGTCTAGGGTTATATACTTAAAACAGATTGAATATATTTTTGCTACTTGTATGGAGTTTCGCAAGTCCGCATTAAGGTACTTTGAGGCCCTGACGCACTTATTTTTTTAAGACCCTTGAATAGGGTACAAGCAAATTTGAAGTTAATTATAATTAATACATATTAAATTAATTACAGAGTATGAGCTAATTATTCGAAGTAAATTAGAATTTGATGTATCTTTTAAGAATGATATATTAAAATTAAACGATTGTAATAATAATTATTTACTTGTTCAACATGACAAGTAAGAATGAATTAGGTACATAAAAAAAACAATATAGTTATTGTACAACATTACGAAAGCATGCCAAACATCACCCTAAAATCGTTTTTTTCCTTGTTTAGCGGAAGCAAAATCTCCAATTACATCTTCATAATCTATTTGCTTAAGCAATATCCTTTCTATCGTGAGCAAGGAAAGGGCATTTAAGCGTTCATTTAACATCTAAGCACGTAATTCATTTTTTACTCTAGCAATATTAGAAAAAGTTCTCTCTGCACTGCAGTTCGTGGCAGGTAGGCACAAGTATATTTTTAATGCCACGTCAACATGAGGAAAAATAGATTCGAGTTTGTTTTTTCTTATTGCTTTGATGCATTGTTGGGCGGATGGTGTTTCACTATCAAAAAATTTCGCAAACTAGATCATTTAATCGGGAAAAGAGCTATCTAGATCTGGAGAGTATGTCTCCCAATCTTATAGCTGCAGCAAAAATTTCAGTCTCACTTAAATTTTTGAAATTAGATAGAAAACCAAACTCTATTTCTTTCGATTTTTCAAACACATTTGTAACTTGTCAGCTACCGATATAAAATTTTCTATGCGAAACTTCTGAGTCACAGATAAACTAATTTCCCCTTCAGAAGTATCATCATCTGCCAGCTTTCTTTTCTCTCTCTAGAAATCTCATCCTAAGCTGCTCTTCTACTGTATATGAAAGCTGATGAGCTTGAATTTCTATTCTATTGAATTCTTCACAGATAGAAAAAAATGGTAATTTTGATTTATTTTGTTTTTTTTGTGGTAGTTACGAGGTCGGTCAAATTAATCTAGTCTGTATTGAGTAAGGATAGAACAAATAACAGATAAAATATGAAGATTTATCGAAAAAAGAGGGAGTTAAAATGGCAGTCCGTGTCATCAGTAGGGACCCCTCACCGCTTGGGGTCCTGGCGCAACTGCGCCAGGGTTAATGCGGCCCTGGCGTTTTGTCTAGATCCGGATGGTACTGTTTGAATGGTGACAGAAACAAGGTTCATGGCACTCGTTCTGGAGATTTTTAGTCCTACAGAAAGCAGGTGAAGGTCGAGTTAGACAAGATCATTGAATATCCTGCAGGTTCTGTATTTAATATGTTTGTGAGCAGACAAGTAATCTTTACTATTGATTTATCGAGCTTTAATCCACCAAAGCTAGACTATGTAGATTTTCATTTAACTATGGATTCTTCTCTGAAAATGTTAGGAATTTGTAATAAGCAATTATCCTTACGGTAGGTTCTAAATAAATATACAAACCATGTGAAAGTGTCCTTGTTGACATTTTGTTTCATGCCTTGGAAGCTACATGTTTTTATGCAAAAAAGATTATTTCCTATTCCATATCTTTAAGTTATGTATTCTCCTCCCCCCAGTGGCACAGCGGTATGTCTGCGGACTTACAACGCTAGAAACCTGGTTTCGATACCCATGGTGGGCAGAGCACAGATAGCCCATTGTGAAGCTTTGTGCTGAACTACAAACAAACAAGTTATGTATTCATGCGATGTTGAACGAGATAGATCTGTTATTCTAGACACTTGTAAAATCTGAGGGACAACCTATTTTACTGTAGGTGGTTACCATTCCCACTTACTATATCTCCCGGTGTCTTGTAAGTTAAGAAATCGCATACACCAGATGTAATTTATGATTTATTTATTTTTAACACCATTTCAACTATTCATTCTTTCATGTTTTACGGATGACTAGGCTGTTTTAGTCGTTGTTTGTGGTGACCTTATTGTTGCCCACCGGATCTCTTCTAAGGGGTTTTGTGTTCACTGCAGAGTTGTATACAACTTCTTTTGTCCTTGAATCACATAAAAAACCGAGTCCTTTCACTAACTCAGTTGGTTTTTGCTGGCCTTAGAATTGTTTAATTACACTTTCTTTCTCACCTTTGCACGAAACTGCATCTTCTTTTTTGTAGTCTCAGTCACTGTTAGTCCTGTTTTATTGGATCTCTGGTCACATTGATATCAGTGGAAATATTCAGATCAGCCTCTGTTGCCATATGTTGATTTTAAAGATTCTACCATGTAGGGGATCATTGCTATTGATCAGAAGCTTTGGGAAGAACAACAGACTTGCAGACTTTTCCAGTGTAATATTGGTTGTCTACTTTGCACAGGTTTCATAAGGAGAAATTTACATAGCGAAGGTCTGGATTGGCTATTGCTTCCTAAATGAACACTGCGATTTCCTTCATGTTGACCAGCCATTGTGTGGGCAATGTGAGATTCATCTGACTATCACTTTTATTATATGTTCCTACTGACGCTCCGTTAATCAGCGGCGTTAATATTTTAAACGTATTTGTGTACATATTGGAAAGTAGCACTGTTCAACTTGACCTATTTAATGGCCATTCGATTTCAGTGACATCTAACTTTTATCGTTTTCCTTTTCATTTACATGTGTTATTTGTGCTGCTTTTATATATTTTTACATTTAAAATGTTCAGCTATGCATTTTAACTTTGCTTATCTCCTTTAGTGCAAATGACTAATTGCCTTGCGCCATCGAACCCTGAACCTAAAATTTAGCGGCCTGGCATGACGAGAAGGTTCGGGCGCTCGACTCGCAACCTGGGGGTCACGGATTCGAATTCCCGTCTCACCAAACATGCTCGCACTTTCAGCCATGGGGGCGTTATAATGTGACGGTCAATCCCACTATTTGTTGGTAAAAAGAGTAGCTCAAGAGTTGGCGGTGGGTTGTGATGACTAGCTGCCTTCCCTCTAATCTTTCACTGCTAAATTAGGGATGGCTAGCGCAGATAGCCCTCGGTATCTTTGTGCAAAATAAAAAAAACACCTAAATTTTATGTTCCCGACAGTGTTTGACATTTTTTGTGTTTTATGTTTTCTCTTACTTTTGTTTTATGTTTTTTATTTTACAGTGTTTGTTTTCTGTGGGAGTGTTTGATGTTTTTTTATTTCATTGCGTTTTCTCTGTGTCTGATTTTAGTGACGTTGGTTCGCGCGAAGACAAAATTGTTACATCATAGTGTAATATGTGAGGACTAACTAAACTGTGTATTTGAACATTGTTTAGATATTACCAAATGTATAGTGATCTTTCTCTTATTGTCATTCAAGTGCAATGTAATGTTTGAAGCTTGCTTATATCGAGATGAATGTCTTCGAGACGAGTAGCTTAAAACAAGTTTTTTCCCTGTTCATTTCAAGTTTATATGTTTTATAGTTTTACGTCATGTAATTGTGATTTTAAACACTTCCAATTATGTTTTGACCATCTTTAATACATATTATGGACATGTTTTTTTTAGTTTTTGTTTTTAGATAATGTATTGGGGTCCCACGATGGATCAGAGGTAAGTTTACGAGTGCTAAAACAAAATATATTGGGAATAAATGTGATAGCCTCGAAGTAGAAATAGGACTTAGGTCATATTCTGATATACAGGAAGACGAATATTTCGTGAATCATGACCCTCAATATCAACTGGTAATAACGAGAAAATTTAATATATGCACTATTTTCTGTTGAGTCTACTTCTGATAAGTGTGTTTGAAATAAAGATAAGCACATCCGCTACGTTTTAAAATAGAAAATGCCACCAATTTCATAGCGTATTAGATGTATTTTAGGGAAATTTATTTGCATTTACACACTTATGCAATTACATGTATATTTACGTCAGTCATTCTAATAAGTCTGTCTTAATTCACAGGTAACTCACAAAACTACTGGACAAGTGATGGTCCTTAAGATGAATACGTCTCTTAGCAACCGCCAGAACATGCTTCGAGAGGTGCAGTTGATGAATCGACTGTCTCATGCCAACATCCTCAGGTACTGTGGTCGTATTTATTAGAATCAACTGTCTCATGCCAACATCCTCAGATACGGTGATCATATTTATTAGAATCGACTGTCTCATGCCAACATCCTCAGGTACGGTGATCATATTAATTATTTTTAGGATTTATTGTGCATAAAGTTTATCATAAACTTGTTTTATATTTCAGATGCTTAAAAATACTTTTCCAAACAAAGTTCTCAATGCTAATGATTAAAGATATAAGGGAAACAGATAATGTTGAGTTTTTGGCCAGGCTTCTATAAAAAATTTCATTGGTGGGGTTTGTTTACGCGTCTTGTATAATCTTCTACTCATTTTATAGTTACAATTGAATTGTTATACATTGTGATAACAATGTGTGTAAACTTTTAAGAAATACCATGACAATTCAGCGACTGCAGGTCACGTAATAAGTACTGTTTTATCAATAATGTTTTATATTTGTGATGAAATTCACGTAAACTGAATTTTTTTCACATTCCTCTTAATTTGTCGGATCCAAAATCATAGAAATTTAACACCTACCTTTGTTTCCCACCATATCTTTAAATACTGTATATTGGCGTGTTATATGATGTTAGACATTTAACACCTACATTTGTTTCCCACCATATATTTAAACACTGTATATTGGCGTGTTATAGGATGTTAGACATTTAACACCTACCTTCGTTTCCTACCATATCTTTAAATACTATATATTGACGTGTTATATGATGTTAGACATTTAACACCTACCTTTGTTTCCCACCATATCTTTAAACACTGTATATTGGCATGTTATATGATGTTAGACATTTAACACCTACCTTTGTTTCCTACCATATCTTTAAACACTGTATATTGGCGTGTTATAGGATGTTAGACATTTTACACCTACCTTCGTTTCCCACCATATCTTGAAATACTGTATGTTGACGTGTTATAGGATCTTCTTCTGTACATGCAACAAGAGAACCCAGTAAAAAGCAAGTTTACTAAACTATAAATCCCCAGTCTTTTTCACAAGGTTTAAAACAGCAGCAATCAAAATAAGATTCACTGTAGAAGTAGGTGGGCAACACCATTCTGGGCCGAGCGCGGCCAAGTGATTAGCATTCTGGACTGTGGATTTGAGATTCCGTGGTTCGCACCCCGCAGTGAGCAGTAGTGGGTGGAGAAGTGTCTGTGGCTGAAGTATGTATGAGGATATTCTAACAACAAAAAAAGTATTTCAAGAGTGCGGGGGGGGGGCTTCCCCTTACGTCTCCCATGTAAATTAGCCTATGTCTGTGGATACATTACTTATAATGATGGTCAAATCCAAGAGTTAGCAGTGAATGATGTTGACTAAATGCCCTTTTTGTAGGCGTTACTTCAAAATTATGGAAAGTTAACGCACATAACCTTCGAGTAGCTTTGCGCGAAATTCAACAAACAAAGTAGAGCCATTCTTTTGGATCTGAAGTCAAAATATTGTAAATTTCCATGTGCTCTATTTTTAAACGTATGATTTTAAGTTTGACAGTTCCTATATAGAACTAATGGAACTCTTTAGACATCTTAAAAACATGAATATTTCTGTTTTCTGGGCATAAACTGATTAATTAAATAAATGTTTACATTATAAGATTAGGAAAACCTTTATGAAGTCACTATGCGAATAAATTTAACAAATATACTACTGTTACGACAGCGGAAGTCACGTGACGCTGGTAACACGTAATGAGTATCTAGAAGGTTCCTGAAGGCTCGAGTGTTTGGCAGACGCCCTCTATTTTGCATATATAAGACCGGCAAGAAGTGACGGCATAGATAATTGCAGACAGACAGAGACGCACAATTGAGTCAAGCGCGGTAATGACCGTATGTAAAGTGCGTGAATCGTTGTGAATTATAGCGTGTGCTTAAGTTAAAGTGACTGTGGAAATTAAGTGTATTACAAAGTTGTATTGAGAAAGAATAAACTAGTTTTATTTAAGAAAGGACTTGTATCGCTAAAGTTTCATCCGAAAGAAATTACACGGGAAATTAACAAACGACCAGAGACGTAACACTACTATGCCATCAGCTCAAACCAAATATCTTTCAATCCCGTCCTGCGGTCCGAGAGACTAAAAGGTAGCGGTTGGAATCTGTTGTTGACAGATGTCTTTTGTAGTTATACTAAAAGTTCTACTCGTGTAACTAGTATTTATGTTAGCCGAGGCATAGCGGCTCATAGAAGGGCTCCGAGTTTGTTTTTTGTTTTTCTAGTACAAACTTTTAGCTCATAGCTCCGTCATCTCTTGACCAATTTGAGACCTAATTACAGTTTTGGCCTCAGGAGGTTATAAACCCTTTCAATTGATGTATTTGACCACGCCCAAGGCCTCATAGATTAATTTACTCTAATCCTGCCCAAAATAATTTCAATTTGAGGGTAGGCTGGTAGAGATCCTGATGAGTTATAAAATTGAATCGGGTATACGCGCGACCAACGCTTGGTATTGCTGGCGCACAAAAGCTTAGCTAATTAAAAGAAAAAAAGGTCTCACAGATTAATTTACTCTAATCCTGCCTAAAATAATTTCAATAGCCGTTACTATTGAAGATTCCCTCTTGTTTTCGTGATAAAACTGTTAATGCAATGTTGATGGGACTTCAGCAGGGAGTTACTGAATGGAATGTCACAGTCGATTACAAAAGAGAGTTCTGGCTCTTTCAAAATTCCAATTTAACCAATGAATTTCTGTATGGAAATTACGTGTGAATACCAACTGTTGCAGTAAAATGTAGAGAACAGACCATTTAGTGAGCGGCATTTTGTGATGGTCGCTGAATACCAACTGTTGCAGTAAAATGTAGAGAACAGACCATTTAGTGAGCGGCATTTTGTGATGGTCGCTGAATACCAACTGTTGCAGTAAAATGTAGAAAACAGACCATTTAATGAGCGGCATTTTGTGATGGTCGCTGAATACCAACTGTTGCAGTAAAATGTAGAGAACAGACCATTTAGTGATGGTCGCGTCTTTTAATCAGGCGAGTCAATTATAACTTTGATTACTATAATAATTAGCAGTATTAGTAGCGAATGCTTTATCATCATATAAAGTCAGCCTGTCTAAAAGGCATATACTTTAAAATTCGGAATGTCAAAATAGTAAAATTTGTACAAGTGCAATTTTTAAGGTTTGGGTAGAATGAGAAAACTTGTTATATATCTCGCATTATACGTTTTAAAGCTTAAAAATTCACCTTGTGTACCCACCGTATATGCAGTTTATGTCCTAAGAAATAACATAATATTTAAACATGGTATGATTTGCCCATTAGTGGGTCAGCGGTAAGTTTACGGACTTACAACGTGGTTCGATTCTCCATGGTGGACAGAGCTCAGATAGCCTATTGTGTAGATTTGCGCTATTTTGTTCTGATATATTTATTGTGGGTGTATTTATTACATGTCGTCATTAAGTTTAATTAATCTCAACCAGCTTTTAAGATAAGTTATACATTTATGAATGAGTTGCTGAGTTTACATACAGCCAATAAAGCTGTACGTCTCCTCTTTTTTTGTTTTATTTTAATTAGAACAAAAAGCATTAATAAAACATTAGACAGCAGAATAAGACTATATTACACACAGTTGTAGTTGTAAGTATTCACGCCCTATATTTACAACAAGATTTTTTTTAACAGTGTATTGTTATAAATATTACAGATTTGGGACAGAAATAGCTAAAATGTTAGCTTTTTTTTTTCAAACAATAGTTTAACCTTATTTATTATCCTGAATTCAAAACAAGTTAACTCTTGTTCCTGTTAGCCAAATACCAGTTACACCTGCTGCCGTTAAGAGTAGTTTATTATTTTTTCAACCATTTACTCATATTTAAGTACTTATAAATTAATGTTACTTGAAAATTGTTAAATTGTTAATGTTACTTGTTAAATATTGAAAATTTGCAAATAATAGCAAACTTGCGAAAAAATATTTCTGTATTTAAACTATTTAATTCACAAATGGAATTTCAAAATAACTATATTTGTTCCAGGTCTGATTACATATTGTTTGTTAATCTGTATCTACACGCCAATGATACCTCGTGTAAGGTTGTTGAACGGTTCTTTGTCTTACCAAGTAATAGTTAAAAATCTGTGAATTAACTGATTAAAGCAAAAGGTATGAATATTCATGACTCTAATTCCGTTGACTTTCAAGGAGTCATTCCTGAATGTTAATGAAGTTTCTCTGATTGGCTTCCGAGACAGATTTCAGTAGGGTCCACTTCATTTTACAGAAAAGTAATAGGTACCAAATTTCATCCATCTAGGGTATTTGTAATTGAGTTTGCATGTACTAAGCTTTAACCTAATAACTTTAAAACTAGCTATCTAAAATATGACGAAATACACACTTTGTAGTAAAATTACAGTTTCCATAAAATAGTGGATCCACTGATTTGAAAATTACAGCTTAGACGTTTATAACTCTACTAATTGTCAGTCCTAGGAACCAAATACCTAGTGAGCTAGTGGAGACCAAACATGGCAGGAAGCGTCAAAATGTCACTTTTTTTTTTTTATCTTATCATACATACTTTGACTCGTCGAATTGCAAGAAGAACTTTTGACACAAGCTCGGATATGTTATTGACAATCCAAAACTGTATGGAAAACCTAGACCTCTGATTGGTGGAACGACATTCTTTTTTTCTAACCATAATTTTTAGCCTCACCTGAAATTGCTTCACACCCATTCTAGGATAACTGAAAGTTCATCTTTACTTTTTTCATAGATTTTTTTTTCAAACCAAAAATAATGTTTACAATTTGCAGGACAGAATTGCCATCCTAACAAGAGTCACACATCGTACTTGCCGGTATCCTTGTGAGTGGGTCTTCTCATTACCTTCGCCGTGACGAGGTTATGTTTTCAAAAATAATGTTTACAATTTGCAGGACAGAATTGCCATCCTAACAAGAGTCACACATCGTACTTGCAGGTATCCTTGTGGTGAGTCTT